TTTTATACTTGAGAAATGTGACATGTGCATGTATAATATTGATAATAACAGCAACAATAGTTAAGTTTCAGCTCGTGCCTGCTCGTGGGTTTCTGTTACAAAGGCTGTTACAGGATTCCATAGCAGTAAGGAAGTAGAACTAATGATTGGAAAGAATCTTGTCCAGTTATTTGTCTAAGATGAATATGGCCTTAGATTTTAGCTCCAACTTCTCTGCATCTACAGAGCCATAGATAGTAACGAAAAACCAACCAAAATAGAGACACTAATAGCAGTTATGATCAAGCAAAATATATTCTGGAATGGGAGAGAAACAAACTCAAGAGAAGCAGAAAGCCTGCAAATGCCACTGAGATAGACACCCAGTTAATCTTTCCCTTCTGCTTGCTGCCATCAAATTCTGATCTTTGGCACTTGTTATTTTAGGATGTTGGAATTAGTCATGAGGCCTACATTCTTTATGACCTACCTCCATAGGAAATGTTCTAATGTTCAATATACTTAGTGTTTTTGAGAAAAAATTGGCATTTTCAAGAAAAGGGGTGGAATACCTGGGGGTACTAGGTAGTGCCGTGTACACGCATGCACAGATGTGCTCATGGCCCCCTTATTGGCAGATTCAGCAAAGATGTGAAAGGACTCAGAGTGACTCTACCTCATAGGACTGGAGGGGCTGGAGTGATGCCGGGGGATGGGCCTTGTTCCTCTGGAGCCTGACAGGGTTTATGATTGTTGCCTAGCAAGTTGTGGACAAGAATTCAGGCTATTATATAATTTGTTTTCAAAACATTCTTGTAGGGTAGGAAGGTTGCTGGTATTCATGATCCCTCTTGCCAGGGAAGTACTCTAGCACCTGTGGGTTTGATACCCACTGTGGTGGGGCAGGCTTATCAGGTTGGCCAACCCTGCAGATCCTGTTGTGTACAGAGTATTTTCTTCTCTTTCTACTTTTGTTGTTTGCTTAGCAAAAGGCACTCCACCCTCACTGCAAGTTTTGACATTCTCTGTGATATGCTGTATGGCTACTGTACCTTGACTTTCAATTACATTAAATCCTATTATAATAATTTTTGTATAACAAATCCTCTTTAACACCTGAAAAGCTCGTCTCCTATGGGTATAGTGTTATGCTGTCAACATCAAAAACAGAAAAATCCTACTAGAATTGCAGGGCTATTGCATGTGCTTGAAAATAAGATCAGTATAAGGGCCCTACCCACTTTTGTATTCAATTCAGATAGTGAAAGGATGAAAAAAGTTAGTCTAAGCCATTCAAATATGCCTTGACCTATAAATGAGTGGCCTTAATTCAGTGATTTTAAATCAATGTGATATCATGTTAAAATACTTTCTCTGGGAAAGCATTTCTTTCAGAAGTAAGGTCCAGAATTCCGAATAATGTTACCATTGTAATGATCCATGCAGAGGAGAATATTCTTCACTAATGTATAATAAGAGCCCACTATATGGAAGGGTTTTGTTTTCTTTCACCCCTTTTCTCTTTCTTTCTTTTTATTTCACTTATTGTTCTATTATTTTATTTTATTTATTTTTGTAAGGATCTTGCTCTATTGCCCAGGCTATGCTAGAGCTTGCAATCATTCTGCCTCAACCTCTTGAGTCACTTGGATCACAAATACAAGCCACCACCAACAGCCTTTAGGTTGGGCTGAGAATGAAACCTGGGCCTCCCATGGGGTTCTAGCCTGTAGAGCACAGTGTCTTAGCAGCTCAGGCCATGTGACTAAGCCTGCTTTGTATCTTTTAACACTCCTCTGGTACTGACTAAACCATAAGCCAATTTCAAATTTTGGGGACCAAATAAGCCTTGATTATTTTTGGTCACCATCTATTTGGTTGTCAGAAAAGTTCTATGTTTTTGCATAGAAAAACAGAAGGATGCAGTTATGACTTTCCTATATCAATAGAAGTGTAGCTTTGAAGTCTATCTCATTGTTTCACTTATTTCGGTTATACCCAGTTTGCTGCTAATTTTGGGCCAAGTCCTCATTTTAAGGAACATTCTCAGAGTCATATCAGAGGAATGGATGTGTGAGAGAAGTAGCAGATCTTATCAGTTGTGTCTTTTCAATATTACTCATGCCTGTTGGTTCTTCAGACTAACATTCTAAACCCTGTCCTGGGTATTAGTGGCCCTTTGTGGCTCAGCTGCTGAGAGGGCATCTCTCCTTTTATCAAATCTCACAACAATCACTCCATTTCACAAATAACCAAAAGATTATCTCTACTTTTATTATTTTCCCATTGTACTAGAAAAATGAGTAACTAGATGACCACATAGCAATTAAATATTTTTCTTTCTTTTTAAGTTGTTTCTTCCGATTGGTGTATTAATAAAATATTACTCATTCAGACAACAAGAGTAGGGTGCCACATTTGATTCATTTATTTTGAGGAACAAGAGTAAGATTACTGATGGCTCTGGTTACCGTATACAGTGACCAGGTATTTTGCTACAACCTGGGAGAGATAGAAGTCTGCTTTTATAATGTAGCTTTGGTTCAGGCCCATCTTTCCAGCTGAGGGTAATGTGAGCTGGAATTGGTCACAGAGGCTCTGGCAGCTGGCTTAACCTGTTTATATAAAGATGGAACACAGCCACTGATTAAGAGAGTCACCTCCTACTGGTTGGTTTTGGAGTGAAGCCCAGAATTTTCCATGGAGATAGCTTTTAAAAGTTAGGTCAGCATCTCAATGAAAGATAAGGACACACAAGAAAGCCCTTGTAGGTTTCCCTGTCTTCAGAACCCCCCACTGTTTAGCAAGGATCAGAATAGATATATCTGACCAATGAAATGCTTTGACTAGGTTTATCTCCATGAAAAGATCACTTCCTGGAGTGATCCTCTGGACCGAGGATTAACTGAGTCAGTTTGAGCCAAGCCGAGCATTTAGCAATTTACGTATGACCTTGGTTCTTTAATTCCGAAACCCTTCAGGGTGATCTGGTCAGTAATAGGGTTAGTTTGGTATCAAGTTATTTTATATGGGGGACAGTGTTGCAAATAATGAAGGACAACTGCTTCTATCAATAGGTTTAAATTGGGGAACAAGGTTAAGGGGAGGAAAAGAGCTGGGCAGGAAAGGAGGAGGACCTGATGGGAGAATTCCATGTCAAATCGCTGGAAAAACTAAAGGAGCTCAATGATCCTATGACTTCACTGCCCTCATCACTAACCACACATATTTGAAGGAATAGTATTCCTGAAAACAGAACAATCATCTCAGGTCATAGTACAGTTTGTTACAAAGGAATTCTTTCACTGGATTGGAATTTTGACTTCATATTTTTACTTACTGAGTAAGCAAAGACAATTTCTTCATTAAGTTTTCTGCCTGTGTTCTTAGAAATAGACACATGGTGATGACGAAACACTACTTGAATTGGATTCTTTAGTAGCTGGAGTGTGTGCGACTAAAAATGGTGATTGGAGGATATTCCTGTGCTCTAATCTGCAACTGCCAAAGGTTAAAAAAAAGAGAACATCCCACTTTTATAAAAGAAAAAAAAATCCTTTGCATAGATTATTATATAAATAAATCTTAACAAGCACCACAGTTCTATTTTTTTATGAAGCACAAAGAGTTATTGTGTGATTTATGTGAAAAGGTTATATAACTGTACTCTGTTACTTTAAATAGTGTTTTTTATTTAAACTGCCAACTTCTTCATCACCAGAAAGAAAAAAAAAATGCCTATTTGCTAAGCACAAAGGTAATTTTCAAGGACTGTAATTAGCTCATGATAACTCTATCTTTTGTGATGTCTTTGCTGCTGAACTTGAAAAGAAATGGACTTTTTTCATTGTTAAATCTAAACTGTGGCACCTGCAGTGTGTCAGTTCAGTGAGAAGGGGGTGGGGTGGGGGGTGTTTGAAGTATTACATTCAGGCACAGGAAAATTACGGATGTCATAAAGTAACAGATCTTGTAATTTTCATTTGGTTTCATGGTTTCTTTTTATAAGAATGATAGGACTCCTTTTCCCCCTTTCCTGTGGCCCAACTGACCCTTTATTTCCAAGATAGTAAAAGGTCTATTTAAAAACCAAACTGAATGTATGATGTAGAAGATGAAAACAATAATGAAATGAAAATTACAAAAATGTAGGAAAAAGTCAGAGATGCAATACATCCTGTCTTAAAAATGGCCAATAGAACAAAATGCTGACAAAAGAACGAAAAGTAAATGAAAACATTTGAGGAAGAAAAAGATCATTTTATTTATTGTAGGAAACTGAATCACTAAGAAAAACTTCATTTTAAATTTTTTTCTTTTTCAATAGAAAAATGTTATTTTGAAGAAAAATAATATTTTTGATGGCAGTCAGAGTAAGTGTTTGTATGTAATATCACCAAATGTATTTCTGTCATTGATTAAGGCAACATTATTTTGGGGGACGGGGTCAGAACATTTTCTCCATGGTGAGAAATATAGTCAGAGAAAATGTAGGAAGATTTATCCCTAGGAAATAGGCTGTTGTAGGCCGCGGAATACCCTGGAGGTTCTAACTAAACTGCATTCTGGGATTTGGAGATCTGTTTCCTTTTGAGAAGTAAATCCCATCATCACAGTCTGAGAGCTGGAATTTTTGAGCTTGTTTTTCACGTCAGTTTTGGACTATAATCACATACACAACAGGAAAAAAAGTCCATAAAGCATTTGAAGTCAAAGAACTGCAGTGTGGCAGTGTTAGTGCTGGGTGTGTTTTCTGTGGGACTGTGAGAACATTGTCACCTGTTTGGTCACCAACTTTGATGCCCAGGTGGCAGTTTGGCAAATAACCAGCGTGAACAACAACAACCTCTTACAATGGGCTGTGAAATATTTGGGCAAAGTTGTTCTCAGATGTTATTGATTCTTTCCAATCCAAACATTAGATTTCAGTTTTAATGGGAATAAAAACAACTGATATGCAACTGAAGTGAATAAACACGTTTATAGTTCAGGCACTGAATACCCACTGCTAGCGAGTCTGCACAGGGAGAAGGCGATTGATTTTTAAAGAGTGCCTTGGAACTGGCAGAGAGAAATGAGACAATAGCTGGCTGTTTCAATATATTATGGACAACGATGTCAATCAATATGCTTTGCAGCTCGAATTCAATTGTAAGTTTGACTGTTAGATCTGTAAGTGTTTTGTGGGAATGTTGAGACTCTATCCAGTGAAATCTTCAGCACCTAGGATCTTGTTAAGTCTTGTCTGGAAGGTGTTATATACCCAGTTTAACAGATCAAATAAGGGAGGACTAAAGTTAATTTTCTAGCCAGGAAGGAGGAAGTCAGTTAAAAACATACATTTGAAGAATGATCAATTTCACTTCAGTTACCCAAAGGAAGTGTTTTGAAATGTGTGTTTAAACTAAGAAGTAGAGTATATATCAAAGGAGTAAGAAAAGTTAAACTGTGAAAAGAAAGCCCAAAGTTAGCAGCAGTGGTATATACAAGAGCAGGTGTGGCTTTTCTAAACTCACAGCTACCCTCTCTGATTTGAACACGGGGAGGGAGAATCAGGAGTCAATCAGGAGATACTTTCTCGGAGACTTACAGGCTATCTTAGGCTTCTAGCAATGGTTGATGAGTAATATAAATTCCTCCGTGTGCTGAACATGAGGATCAGGCTAAAATTAACCCCACTTGTAGACAGAAGGTAGCCAAGATGACACTACTATCCATTATGCTGAAAAAGAAATGCTTCTCTTTAAACCTGGAGGAAAAAATGCAGAGACAGAAAGTCCTTCAAATAAATCGGATGCCTGGTTTTATCCAAGCTGGGTCACTTGGAAAGACATCTATTTCTGTCCTCTTGCATGGGCTACATTTAGACTTTAAACAATTAGCCCTCTTTAAGCTTTTCTTTTTGTCACCTGCTCTAGAAGTTCCAGCATTTTATATTTTTAGATGTTGGGGTCAAGACAAGTGCACAAAATGACATTTTTTGGCCTTACAAAAAGTTCTTTTGACTTTAGCAGGACACAACAAAATGAATACTGAAAAAGTTGTAACATTTCACTTTAACCCCTTAGAGTCGGAAGTACCAAGCATACACACTAGCATATTCTTATTCTTAAGAAGCTAACCCCATTAGAGTAAATCTTGTTTAGAAAGACATGCTCCCTGTCAGGGCACCCTCTGAGATCTTACAGAATTTAAGATTAGGCACATTTATTTTCTTGGTCGGCCGTTATTTAATAATAACCATGAAAGTAAGGAAAAGAGGCTACTTTTTGATTATATTTTTTCTTGAAGATTCTGAATCAAGTGTTCTGTGAACAGTTCACCTTTCCACAATATTTTTCTCTTTGAAGGGTAGGAAGTGTGTGTTCTATTAGAGGACAGAACCTCCTGTCTCCTCAACTATGCTAAAAAATTGAGTCCAGGACTCTTAGAGTAAATCACATATGAAAGGAGAGACGAGAGCTGGAAAGAAAGGATAGGAAAACACACTAAATCGCATAAACATTTTAACTTTCAAATGAGTACAGGCAATTCCTCACTTGTGGTCACCCTTTATTTGTGAATGGCTAGGTGTATGCATAAACATCCATATGCAGAGAGGGTTAAGCCCTAAAACCACCCATCTAAAGCCTGAGAACCCCCTTTCCTCATTACGTTCATTCATTCATTCAGGACATATTTAGTGAATGAATATCTACTATGTGTCATACACAAGGCATTGAAAACACAGTGGTGAGGAGAAAAAGATCCAGAACAGGTTCCAGGAACTAGCAATCTAGATCCTAGAGGGAAAAATAGCCTTTAATCAAATTGTTACATGAATAGATGTAAAATCGTAGCTCTGATACGTGCAATGAGGGAAAAGTAAAAGATGCTATGGATATAGATAATAAGAGAGATTGAACCTAATCCAGGAGTTCTAGGCAGACTTTCCTGAGGAAGTAATAAATGATGATATAATGAAGGTGGAGGAGGAGTTAGTTCATTCAAGTAGGAAGTGAAGACCCTTCCAGGTTAAGTAGCGTACTTGAAGACCTGAGCCAAGATAGGGCTTAAGAAAGATGGAGGGCTGGTGTGGGTAGGGAGAGGAGGCCCAGGGCAATGTGGGGACAACTGAGGCAGGGTAAGAGCCAGACAAATGGGCTGCAAGCCAGAGCAGGCCACTCGTCTTTATCTGAAGAGAACTGGGAAGCTGTGTAAGAGTTTAATCACAGTGTGCTGGTGGCTCTGAGGAAGAGGGAGGTCCTAGCAGTTTGACAGGAAGCTTTAAAGGAGAAGAGGATGTCTCCCTAATTTCTTCTGCTGCTGGTCTTTCACTGTCACTGTACCTTAGCATCTCAGAGAGCCTGTTTCTGCTTCTCACCCTCTCTTCATCCCCTCACTGCAGAGCTCCTGTCACCTTTTCACTTTGGATCCTTGCTTTGGCCCATCTCAGTTTCTACCCTATCTGGTCTTTCGCTCTCTTGGCCTAAAGACACAAAAACCCCATCCTTAATTTGGAGTTAAGGCAGGCAGCAATCGATAGGTGAGGCCTTCACCTGAGAGGTTTCAGGCACTTTGAATGAGAATGTTGGATGTTTTTCTCCATGGAAGTGCTAAGATTCTATCCCACTGATGGGTGGATGAAATTGGCTTTGGAAGGCTGCTCTGGGAGCCTCACATCACAGGACATTGTTTATATGGGAACTTACAAGTGAAATGCATTTTCTTATTAGGAACTTCCTTTATTTAAGTAAGTTCTTGTGTGCTGGGCACCTTACTGGTATTTTTTTTTCCAGTTTCTTGCCTTTCGTTTGCATATTGAATGCAAGCAAGTGCTGAATTAATGGAGAACTGATTGGAAAAGCCTTTAACTGTGGTGCCATGATTTTTGTTCCACCTCTGGCTAGGAGCTGGTTAGATCAATGACTTGAATTTCTAGTTTTGATAAAGTTGTATATTTGAAATTTCAGTATTGAATGGAAATTTAACTCATTGTGAACTGTTAATCTCTGTTGTTACTGAATAGGCACATGCTTATATTTGTTTATAGTCCCTGCCCACACTTAAGCTAAACTCTCACCTTGCTTTTATCCAACGAGGGATTCTTTTTAAAGTCCTACTCACTGTGTTCTCACATTATGAATAGGGAAGGATCTTTCTAGTAGATTATTTATTCAACAAGTATTGCTGTGTGCTTACTATATGTTAATTACTCAAGACCCTGTGAAACCCTTGAGGCCCTGTGATAACTGTAGGACAGACAGATGCAGTCTCTGTCCCGATGGACCATATGGTCTACAATACTGTCCAGTAGAACTCTGGGCTATAATGGAAATGCTCCATGTCTGCACTGAATGCTCCCAATGCAGCAGCTATTAGTCACATGTGGCCACTGAGCACTGAGGATATGGCCATTGAACTGAAAATCAGAATTGTTCACTGTTATTTCATTTTAATTAATTTAAATTTAAATAGCAAAATGTACCTAGTGAATTGGATAATATGGGGAGGGCAGAGAGATGGGCCTAGCAAGATATAAACAGGTTTGGCCTGGAAAAAATAATGAACTACTTACATATTTTGGAACTAAGGGAAGAAGTAACAGAGTTCCAGGTAGATGCCATTTTCACATAGGAGAAACATACATGTAATCATCAGGGAAATAAAGCTGAAGTCCATTATAAAGATGCTTGACTGCTCATTGGCCCATCTCCAAATCTATACAGGTGCATCATCTACTTACAGCTTTCCCCTTCAAAAGGTTCCTGAGGGGATTTCTGATACCAAGTACACAAGACTTTGAGCCTTTTGTAAGTAGCAGGAGACTCTTACTCTATCATTGTGCTAGAAATCATTATTTAATTGAGCTGCACAACAGGAAAGAAGTCGAGCTTTTAAGGATAAATGGGTCATGAGATGATTTAAGTCAACACTGAAAAAAATTTAGCATAAAATGTTTTGTTCTGAAAGAAAATCACCTATTTTAAGAATCAGTTCAAAGAAACTCTTTGGCTAGAACAGCTTGTATCAGCTAGAATTGTTTAAAAGTTGTATGTTGTGTTACTGGTGGCAACAAGCTTACAGGATGTTTTGTAGTTGCAAGTCATCATCCTTACTCACAGCTGGTAATCAAAGAAGGAATTAAGTCAAGGAGGTAAAACTTTCTCTCATACTTTGAAAAGAACAATGCCAGGAGAAAACTTCCTTGGATTGGGAAGAGCTGGTAATGGGGGGTATTGGGAAGGGGGTTCTTATAAATAAAAGGGATGCTGGACCAGCAGATGACGTAATGGTTATGCCACTGGACTCCCATGTAGTTGACCATAGTTTGAGTCCCGGACCCGGCAGCTTAAACTCACACTGGGCACGTGTGCATACATGCCCAAGATCCCGAGAGGAGAATGGAGAAAAAGGGATTACATGGCCATCCTCCCGGGGGGGCGATTTCTTGCTTTCTGTTTCTCTCTCTGTTTTTCCAGAGAGTGCATGTGCCCAATGGCAAAAATCTATTAAAAAAAAAATAAGGGATGCCCTAAATGTCAGTGATCAGTTTGTGCTTTATCCATGTAGGGACAGATAGTTTTGAGATCAAACAGAGCCCTGGCATCTGACACACAGGAGCTGGCAAGGAAATTAAAGCTGTGCATGTACAGTCAGCCCTCCATATCACTGAGCTCTGCATCTGCAGATTCAACTAACCTGGACGGAAAATGTTAGTCTGTTGGGTGACACGCACCATCTCTTTAGGCCTACTATGGTTGCATCTGTACAGAAAATATATAGACTTTCCTTATTATTCCCTGAACAATATGGGTTAACACCTATTTACATAGTGTTTACATTGTATGAAGTACTAGAAGTAATCTACAGATGATTTACAGTATATGGGAGGATATCCATAGGTTATAGGCAAACACGGCGCCATTTTTTTTGTAAAGGACTTGAACATCCTCAGATTTTGGTTACCTGTGAGAGTCCTGAAATCAGCCTTTCTGTGAAAACCAAGGGAGACCGTAATTCCTTCTAAAAAAGCTAATAAGGGCAGATAGACCATATACAGGTAAAGACAGATACACCTAAGGTTAAGCGGAGTAGGAACCTGGCTTTAGTGCAGTGGATAGATACGGTGTGGATTAAAAAAGCAACCTAAGGGACCAGCAGTTAGCATA